CCCACTACTCTCCCTCTGCCCCGCAATCTCCCTCGCCCTCAGCTCCGGGCTGCTCAACTTCTCGTTGACCTTTTCTAGATCCAAGATGCCCATTATACTACTTCGCCTCTCACTCAGCCCACTGTCCACGCGTGCCGCAGTCGTGCGGCGCTGGATCGTAGCTGGTAGTGCGACGACGGGCCGTGGATCCATCATATTGTTGAACTCTGTGCTGAAGAAGTCGGGGCTAGCGAGGATGTGAGGGGATGGAATGGCGATGGGTCGGACGGGCGGTTCGAGGTTGTTACTTTGCTGTTGCTTCGAGGGGGGTGGCGTGTTGATGCGGAGACGGAAGAGAGAGGCGTGTCTTGGCTTTGGTAGATTGTCGAGAGGGGGAGGTGCAGATTTGGATTTGTTGAAGAGAGACGAGGCTTTTCGAGATAGGAAAGACGGTTTCCGGGCGGTAGGGAGTGGCGGTGATGTGGGCATTGGGGCTGGTAGTGTAGGATGTTCGCGTAGCGGTTTTGCGGAGGCTTCTTCATTGGCTTTCAGGATACGAGCCTCCGCTTCTAGCTCTCGGCGTAACTTTGCTTTCGCTTCTTCTTCCTTCAACTGCTGCATCTTCGCTTCGTATGTTGCGATTGCGGCGGCTTGTTTTCGTTGATCTTCTTCAGCTGCATGTTCCTTCTCTTCCGCAGCTTTGAGTATATCTACTATCAAGCTCTTCTCTCCCTCAGGGAGATCTTCGGCTACGCAGGAGACCGGCGTCAAATCCCTCACATTCTTTGCGTTCGCTCTCGCACCTTCACGCAACAGAGAGGCAATGATCTTGTCACTTCCGCCGGCGGCTGCCGCATGCAAAGGGCTGTTCTGCTCCACGTCAGGCATGTCAATCTTAGCGCCGTGACGAAGTAATGAATTGAGAATTTCCCAATCCCCGCGCTCAGCAGCCATGTGAAGTGGTGTTCTTCCATCCATGTCGATGCTGTTCGCCTCGGCTCCATGGAGCAAAAGCTCTTGTACCACGTCGAAGCGATTCGCCTCGACTGCCGAATGCAACGGCAACCGACCGTTGGAGAATGTGGATGCAACGTTCAATTGTGCACCCTTCGCGAGCAACAAGCTTATTACATCCAAAGCGATTTCAGGGTACTGTTCAAGCAGGAATGTGAGGGGATGCTGAGTCAAAACTGTACTCTGCTTCGAAGTCGACGTTGACTGTGCCGATGGAGAGCTCCGTGGTATACACGCATTCAAATCAGCGCCCGCATTCAGAACAACGCATAGAATTTCTAGCACGTAGTCCTCTGGCATTGATGGTGTAAGTGTGATGTGTCGGAGGAGAGCCCACAGTAACGACACACCCAAAGCCGATCTGGGTAAGGCATTGACGTCTAGGCCCATTGCAATCATGTGTTCGAGATCCTTGACAGGTACCGTGGTAGAAAAAGCCGAAACTTCTGCCACAGGATTACTTGGCCGTCTTCGCAGTACTCCTGCGCGCTTAGTCCACTCGTACTCTGCAAACAGTTTCAGAATCTGCTTGTCAGCCTCAACAGTAGGCCGTAATTGGCTGGCTCCGGGTATCCAATCCTGGAAATCGAAAGTGGCGCCATGCTTAAGCAGTGCATTGACGAAGACAGGCTTGCCTAACGTTACGGCGTAGAACAACGCATCCTGATTCTTGTGATCCTCGTGGTTGACGCAGTTCCGACTCGCTTTTCGGTCCTGCTTCTGTACCAGGAGAGCTTCAACCACGGGTAGACCGTCCTCTGGAAGCGCCTTGATAGCAAGAATGAGCGGCGTTGCACCCGATCGCTCGCGCGTAGTCCTGCTGACACCACGATCACAAAATGGGCCAACAATGGCAGCAATGTCTCTCCAGGTCGCTGGCGCTTCAGGTGTGCTTTGAGCAATTAGGTGCAGAGGGCTCATACCATCCTCATCCCAAGAATTGATGCTTGGTGGTATCGTGAGAAGTGGTACAACGGACCATTGGTGATTTTTCACGGCGAGAAGAAGCGGCGTGTTCTTGTCCTTGTCCCCAATGGCGGTATTTGCGCGAGCTCGGAGTAATAACTGCACGGTCTTCTCTAAGCCATTCATAGCTGCGAGATGTAGAGCTGTCTGTCCGTTGGCATTGGTTATGCGTATGTCGGATGCTTTGACCAAAGACTCCAGGTCTGGCTCTTCGTCCTTCTTGCCGTTCGCAGTAGCATTGAGCAAAGGCGTGAGGTCGTCAGCATCGGTTAGGTTGGGGTTCGCTTTGTGCCGCAGTAGCAACTCTGTGCAGGATCTACTGTGAGTAGCAAGATGCAAAGGTGTATCGCCGTCTTGGTCTCGCGCATCGATCTCCGCGCCAGCATCGATGAGCAGTTTTGCGATCTTGGTGTTGCTGAAACGTGTAGACACGGCATGATGAAGCAGTGTCTTGCCATCTGGGTACGCTACAGTAGCATCAGCGCCTTGCTCTAGCAGCGCACCCAGGATGATGGACATTGACTCCTTTTCCTGCGCCAATGGGCTTTCGAAAGTGGCTTGGAGTACAGTAAGACCCCTGCCATCACGGGCGGTAAGATCTGGAGTACGTTTGAGAAGCGCAGTAATCACTGGTGCTCCGGCGCATGCTAGTGCCACGAAGATGGGTCGAAGACCGTCTGCTGCCTCTCGATCTGGATCCGAGCCCTTCTCTAGGAACATCTCCACCAAGCTGGCGTCGTTCCTCTTGATTGCTTCCACAAGAACGTTGGATTCTGCACCGCAGGCTGCGGTGAAGATGTCGGCGATAAGGTCGTTGCCCATCGAGAAACGGCCTTGCGTCTTCTGCACATGCTTGAGCAGCATTTCCCTCTCTTTCTCAAGTTTGTTGCGCTTGCCATGTGCGGCGTTGATAATTGCCACGGCGCCTTGGATGTTATTGGCTTTTAGGGCAGCCTCTGCTGGCGTTTGACTGTGGACGTTGAGTGCTTCATAACTAGCACCATGTTTGAGCAGCGTCGTGACGGTTGCTAGCGATCCGGATTTAGATGCGGCGTAGTGAAGAGGTGTCTCGCCGGATTGATTTGTCTTGGTCTCGAGATTGGGTCCATACGGGATAAGAAGTTCGATAAGATCACTACGGCCGTTCTTGACAGCCAAGTGCAAGGCTGTCTCACCACCGTCCGTCATCGCAGCATCGACGTTTGCACCAGCATTCAGGAGTATCCTCGCGATACTGGCATGTCCATTGGCGATAGCGATGCACAGCGGTGGTATTCCCAAGCTAGTAACATCATCTGGCGATCCGCCAGCTCGTAGAAAATGTGACAGTGCGGCTTCCCGTTGGTGGAAGACGGCATAGTATATGGGCGTCCAGTCCTTCGATGGCTCAAATGTCCCGTCGCCCTCTGGTAAACCTGCAGGCTTCCCAAACTTGCATCTCAAGATCTCAACAGACGTCTGCAATGTCGAACCCTTGCGTTTCAACGCCATCGGTCTCGTCGTATCCCTATCCAGATCCAGGTCGATATTGCGGGGAATTGGAGGCTCCATGTCGCTTGAGTACCTCGCGGAAAGACAACTGCAAGGTTTGGATTTCATCATCCGCGGCCTGACATCCACACTTGATAAAGAACTACCAAGTTACCGAGCAGTAGCGACAAAAGAAAATATGCAGGGTAGAGAAAAGCATTCGAGTACCCTCAGGGCAAAAGAAAGCTACCATGAGCGACAGGAGCTTGAAAAGTACGCTCCCCACCATTCCCCTTCTTTTTCCAAATTGGACGAGCTGAAAGGGTCTGGCTTACCCACGAATCAGGACAATCTCGTCGCGGTTGTCGTGCCATTTCGCCTTGCTTACCGCTAGAAGCCATGGTCAGATTACCAATAACGGGTGTCTTGTCGTGCTCCAAACCTAATAGCGCCTCCACTGCAGTCCTTGAGCGGGTAGCTGATTGCCTAAATCGGATCGAACAGATCACGTACGACTCGCGTCTTCGCGGGACGGTGCGTCGAGGACGATCACCACCAAGCGCATCCCTTGCAGCGCGCTTCGTATCAATCGCCTCAGGAAAAATCCTGGAGGCGCTGTATATAAATTTGTTCTTTTGCTTGGCTTTCTCGCGACGGTCCGCCAATTGCGAAGAGCGCTACTATGTATAGAGAAGCGAGGGCGCGATGCAGGTACAACTCTGGAAGGCTGCAAGCCAATGCAGCGTGACAGCGATTAACACGACCCGAGACGTGCCAACAAGCAAAGTCACTGAAAGCAATGGAGAATGCAAGCCTTTCGCGCTCAAAGTTCGGGAGGAGTCGAGGCCGATCCTGCTTGCGGCGTTTCGCTAGCCGACCCACGTGTTTGTGGCTTGAATTGGCTCAGGGGTAATCGCCCTCCGTCGCCTCGCTATTGCGCACCGTCGTCGCTGGCCAAGCAGACGGCGGCAATGCTACGGGTACGTTGTTTCCGCAAAGATATTCTCGAGACCGAAGGCGTATATTGAGTGGAGATTGGACGAAAAGTCGAATTGCAATTGCGCTTATGCACGTGAGGTGTCTGGGAGACCATCGTCGCTATGAACAGCGGGAGATCGTCCGCCCACTCCGTATCACGAGGATGGAGACGCGAGGCTTTCCGAGGCTGTTACATCTAATCGTGTTGCGTTACCACGGGGTGTTAGCAAGATCCAACGTCATACTTCATGCCTTCAATGCATAGCTTGAGTGCAACTCGCAAAAAGAAGCTTCATCAAAGTGGGAGCTGAGTACGCCCGATCATGTGGCAAAATGAATGTTTGATTCTTCGTTTGCTACAGCTGAGAAGATCATCTGAAAACCAAGTAAAAGAGTGTAAGAGGACGCAAAATGTGGCGTTCCAGAGCGCAGCAAGCAAAAGCAAATCAAGCCATCTTCCAGCAATCTGTATCTTCTTCCTCCGATCTGCACCATTCTCCTTTTACGGCGATTGGATCGCCTCTCCAAGGGCGCAGTTTCAAGTCCATTGACATGCGGCATCCCCGTAAATCTACACAGCCGGCCACCACGTCTCAAAACTTCACACCCAACTTCCAGCCAACTTGGAGTGCGCGACTCCACACGAAGCAGAGCGATGCCACTATATAGCAAGCTGCAGTCCAGATGACCACACCCCAGTAGTGCCCACCTGTAGCCTGAATGATAGCCCCCGCGATAGGGATACCCGTGAGCGTACTGAAGCTGACAACAGTATAGCACGTAGCGTAGTATCTCCCGTACACATTCGTGTCGCAGAGCTGGCCTACACAAACCGGCGTGAGGGAGATATTCGAGCCAGATGCGAAACCGAAGATGACTGCGTAAACAATAGAGAGAGCTTTGATAGCTGTCGCCTCGGCCTCAGTGGTGGGGGTGAGGAGCGATGCGGGGAGCCAGAACACCAGTGATGTAGCTGAGCAGACTGCTAGTGCAGCTATCATGCTGTTAAAGCGCCCGAGCTTGTCGGCTAGGAGACCCGGCACCCAGCGACCGAGACAACTTCCTGCGTTGAAGATGGCGATGAGTTGGTATGAGAACGACGGGTCAAAGGCGCCGGTGCTGATCGCGAAGGTAGTGAGGTACGTGATCGGGATGAAGAGCGCCCATTCCATCATGAATATGCCAATTGTAAGGAGAAAGTAGCTCTTTTGGCTGAAGATCCGGAAATCTGGCCATACTGACTGTCCAGCTTTGGGTGGTAGGCGAGAGCGGATGAGGAAGCAGGCGCCGACGCAGCAGAAAAGCGTGATGAAGCCAATAATGCGCGTCGCCCATGGGAAGCCTACGCTCGGTAGCAGTTTCTCCAAAGCCAGCGGGAATATCACTCCGCCCAGCGATCCTCCAGCGGCAGCAATACCCGTAGCGTTGCCGCGCTTCTGCAGGAAGAAGTGGCTGACTGCTGCAAAAGCGGGCGTGAAGATCAAGGATGTACCTAGACCACCGAGCACGCCGAAGACGAGAAAGAAATGCCAGTACAATGTGCACAAGCCGAGCAGGAAGTTGGACAGGCAGAGCAGGATGCTACCTGCCAGCACCAGGAGTCGCGGACCATGGGCATCGAAGATGGGTCCAATCTGTAGTCCGCAGAAGAACGACAGGAAGACGTACATGCTGAAGATCCATGAGACGGTCGACTCGGAGTAATCCGCAAGAAAGTGCTCGGCGATGTAGGCATGGTAGATGCCGACAGTGTTCATCATGCCCAGCGAGGCGATGAGACCAAGGAACGATCCCAGAACTACAGACCAGGCACCTAGGCCGCCTTCAGGATAGGTTACTTCGTCATTGGCGATAGAGGTTGATCGAGATTCCTCATCATGAGGCCGGTGAGCTTTCTCATCTCCAGTTGCAGTGTTGCTTGGGCGATTCGCCTTGAAGCTGGCCGATGCCGGGGCATCGGCGTTGTGAGTTTGGGCACTTTGGCATGGCGAAAGTGTGTCCGATGGTGGGATGGTAAATTCGGCGTGAGGGTAAGTGTTGACTCTAGTCAGATTGTAGTGTGGGCTAATTGATCCTGGCGTGCTGCCTTTTGGTTCGCTGCTCATACGACCTATTGCGTTCGTATCGGGGAAGAGGATGAATATGTGTGACAATGCGCGTGCTGCGCGGAAAGCAGTCGTTCAGATTTGGAAAGTGTCGCAAAACTCCTACACAGTCCCCAAAAGCGTTCTCGCGGGCCTGTTATACCTCCCAATCGATGACGCGCGCGGAAATTCAGTCGCAGTTTGTGGTTCCCCGAGCGGTTTGGTGTTGCATAGTCGAGCTCCCCGAGCGGTATAAGTACATTGAAGGCCCATGGAGGGGTAAAGAGCCATGACCAATAGACCCACTGTGCCGCTTCGGCTACCACTCGCAATGCGGTATCGCCCGCTACCGACGAAGGGTTTTCCACACACACCTTTTCCGACGCGGTGTATGATTCGCCCTAGATGCCGAAAACCAAGACATTGTGTGATATTGGCGGTGAGATCAACGGCAGGGCGTGGAAAGCATCAACTCCGAACATAGCAACTGTCGGAATTTGACACGGAGCTCAGCGTCGTCCGCGTCGGGGAACTTCTTGTGGGGGTCCCCGATCTGCTCAATGATGTCGACAGCTTCCTTTCCTGACCATGTATACTGTAAAAGCTCTTGAGCCATAGGCGCAATCTTTTCCGCGTCGTTGGTGGCTTCGAGGATGGACAGCCAGATCTGCGCGGGCGAGGGAGTAGATGTGAGTGTAGTAGCGTTGCTAAGCATGGAATCATAACGGCCATGGTCGCTGTCATGCTTGGTGTAGGGTGCAGCGGGCATTTTGCTGACCTCGTGGAAAGGCAATCTATTCCGGTTCGTGCTCAGTTGCAGCATCTCCAGCAGCAACCTTTTCTCGTTTGTATCGTGTGCGGACGCGCGAAGGATATCGCAGCTGTCATTCGAGGCACATGTCTGGATGGCCTTGTATAACAGTAGCCAACTACCGCGGAACCTCCAGCGGTCTTGATGTGATATATCGCGGTTGCGAGACGCATACGTAGCTCTGAGTCTGCCTTCCAGGAGTTCGTAGAGTGTATCGTTGCACTTTTCGCTGTCGGTCTCCGGTTCGTCGTCTAAAACGTCTCCTTGCGGATTGGAGTATGCAGTGGCTTCACTGACATTCATGGGCAATCGATTCATGTAATGAAGATTTTTCGGCTCCGAGGTGTCTTTGGCGGCCTCGCAAGGCTTGGACTTGAGCTTCAGTCTCGTGGTGAGCTTCATCCGGAGGACTCGTAAGTCGCGACGGAGGAGCTTAGCTGTCCAGCCAAGGTCGTATGAGCCCGGAAGAAGCATCATGATGAGAATTGTGGTGGTTGAAAGAATAAGCTACATGTACATCAGCATGATCGTAGGACGGAGATCTGGTTCAGGGTACACTCACCAACATCCACATGTGTCCGAACCGAGCACTGACAGATATGCGTGTGGAGGTGGATATTTTTGTGCGACCGAGAATAACAAAACACGTAGAGAGCAACAATATAGTTAAAGGTATACGTTAGAGTGGCAGTCATATGTGATATAATCAAGGTCAGGGAAAAATCATGGTGAAAGTTGTTCCCATGTGAGTTGAAGCTCGTGCAATCGACGCGTCACATCAAGGCAACTGCATTGTAAACAGATACGCAGCAGGCGCACCTTTCACTTCGACGCGCTTCCACGAGAAACTATTTGCACATACAACCGATACTACAGCGTTAACGTGCAATTGCAAAACGCTTCGCGCACCAGCAATACATGACTGAAAGCGCCATAAGACGTCGCATCACTATGCTTACCCTGTCCACTCCACCACCTCCCCCAATTTCCAATCCACATCCTCCATCCAAGCCCCGACACTCCACGACCCCAAATTCCTCGGCCACCACTCCTTTCCACCCTCTTCAACCACCTCCTCGTCTTTCTTCTCATGCACCTCAACCCAACACCCCCTCGCTCTCGGCGTAATCGCCGCAATATCAAACGCCCGCCACTTCTGCGTGCCCACCAGCACGGCACCTTCTTTCTTCGGATCTAGATCATACTCGTCCACCTCTGCTCCCCCGAGGACCTCGCTAAGCGACCTCTCATACTCTGGTGCAGCAGGCAATGGCGGCTGCGCGGCTGCCATGCTAAGCGGAAGATACTTTGTGTTTAGCGGAATGGGCGGAACCAACGTCCACGGCTTGAGCGTACAAGCAAAGAATGGGGCGCCGCCATCTCCATCCTTAGTGCCTGGGGGAAAGACTTGCACGGTGAGGCTGGAGGGGGGCGAGGCACCAGGTGGCGTCGGTGGCGAAGAGAAGGAGAAGCGAGCGAGGTGTTTGGGTATATTCCAGTTCAGGCGGCCATTATAGGTTGTTGTGCGTTGGGAGACGTAGATGCGGGATATGCGTTGGGCTTTTTTAGGGATCTTGATAGGCAAGTGGGATGAGGTAGTGCTAGTGGGCTGTGGGACGATGAAGTTTCCGGGGACGAGGAGAAGTTCGTCGTATGGACCTGGATTCAGGTTAGAGAGATGGCTCTGAGAGTTCCGTTCTCGTGCAGTGTCTAGGCAAGACACTCTTCATGCCATTCTCTTTTCACATCTAAAGCGTGCCGTAAAACCAATCGAATAGTCTCCTCGTCCTGGTAACCCGCTTACTTCGCACTCCTTCTCTTGTGCTCTTTACCACTATCACTGAAATCACTGCTCTTCTGGATGAGAAAGAGACATCTCACTTACCTACAGGCGTGTCCCTATACCTATACCAAGGACATCAGTATATGCGCAACGCATGTAAGCCATCTCACTTCCTTTTCTTCTCTTGCTCCATCATAGCCCGCCCGCTTCCAGCATTAACTTACCTAACGACAACCACACTCCCCAAACCCCCCTTGAACGTTCCCTTCTCCTTGTCATCCCACCCTCCAACCTCGCCTTCCAACTCATCATGCACATTTTTGGGCAACTCCTTCAATGTCAGGAAGAGCATGTACACCTCAGCCGTGAGTTTCCATGGTGCGAGCGCACGCTTGACAGGGTGATGAGCCGGTTCTTCAGACACGGACGTCGACATTGTTATGAAGCAGGAGATGTATGTAGAGAAGAACAAGATCACAAGAGACGAAATACTACCACTGTGACCGAGGAAACGACAAACGGTGACGGCTGTGTTGGCGCAGTAATGATTAGATTGATACTGTCCAGGGTTTACACGTGAGAGCACATCACCCCTCCAGCCGCGGCTTCTCGTTTACATTGCCGCGCCGCTCCCTCCTCTTTCCAGCGAACGACTGGACCTGCCCAGCTTAGATAGCATCATCTAAGCGGCACGATGCATAAATCCTACCGATCATCATCTCCAAGCAACAAGTGCGTCTGCTGTTAAGAATGTGAACGATACTTGCAGGAAGAGGAGGTGCGAAGAGAGCTGTATTGTCAAGATTTCGTACCAGCGGGTGCGGAGGGACGCGCGACAGTATGAGCGCCAAGTAGCGCCGTCCCGCGTTTTTCGACAACGCGACAACGCGACATCATCTGTGAGCACAACAGATAGTTGGGTTGATTATATCCTTCATCAGCATTGAAGAGAATCAAGTCAAAACGCGCATTGTCGTAGCCTCTCAACATTCGCTGAGCTGTCATTACGAGACCAACGAGTCCAGAGTCCACTCCGCAGCATCATATCGCAGATTGACTTCACTGCTACATTCCCATCTCACCATTTCCGAAATATACGCTTTAATCATCGGATAGGCATCCCTCTTTGTCACTTCTCCAACCAGAACCCTCGCTCCTTGCTCCTACGCGCCTCGGTCCATCATATCTGCGAGCGCAAGAGAACCAAGGAAGATACTCCGATCCCAAGAACCTCCCGTCTCCCACTATACGTATCATAATGACGCTTGTTCCTTCGGACATGCACCCCTTCAGGTACAGGAATGCAGTGACGCCCAAACATGAAAACACATCGTGACCATCAACTAAGAGAAACCACACTCGGAACCGTCGCCCTATTCAGTACAGCACGCCCGTTCGCACTACTGGTTACCGAGCTACACCCAGCATTTGTGCGCGCGCGGGAACCGTGCTTGAGCGCAGGGTCTTCTTTACGCCGCAAATCCTGTAACAGAGGGATCCCCTTGCATACCAGCAAGCCACACCCACGAGGTATCAAAGCCAAGTCCTGTCATGAGCCACTAGCCTGATGTTTTGCCACACACACACACACACACACACACATGGCAGCGGTCGATGCGACGTCAGGGTTGCTGTCTATTGTCAAGTGTGCACGTGGTGAAGGAGATGACTCGAGACGCCACCGGAGAGCCGGCGGCAAAATGCCAAGAGAACGCTTTGTTCCCGCCACAAGCCGCGCGCTGAAAGGACATCAGCCGAATGCGCGTCATGCAAGCGGACTGCTCTATGTGGGCAAGCCCTGGTCGAAAGCCCGATCGAGCATTGACCCTTTTTTTTCTCTCTCTTCGCACGTATGGGCTTGGCTTCAGCTGCAGAGCCGCATGACCTAGGTTTCTTGCTCTCTCGATTCGCCCGCCCGCCGCCGCCGTAGTTAGCCGGGAGGGTTGGATGGCGCGGCGTGATTGGATAGGATGGATTTAGGAGCTAGGAGGCCGATAGACTGACGGCTTGCCCGTTCAACTACTGGGGTGTAGTTAGGACATAAAAATAATCTCATGTCATGGTCAACAAAAGACGAAGGTGGGTTGAGTTCGGTAGATTGATGACAAAGGGGACGAGTGAAGCGGTAAAGCGGGAAAGAGGGAAACAAAGGATCTGGACAAGGTGCGATTACCCATCTAGCCGATCGTCGCAGAGCCGCAATACCGGCCCTGTGGAAACGTCACTTTGACGAATGAATCAGTTCAACTTGTCCTTTGGAGGTATGTGTGTGTGTGTGGGGGCCGCTCCCAAAAACCCTTTGGATTCTCAAGTCACCCGGACGTTATACTACACAACTACACAGACCAATATACCCATGTCTGCCTGCAATGCGGTACAGAGTGAAACAGAGCACACGACACCTTACCATATGCAAACACAACTGCATCGCTCCTGCGGGTTTTCATCTATATTTCAATCTCCGTTCCGTCCTGCATCCATTCCCGCGTATAAGACAATCATCATCATAACAAAAACACACCTATAAAATTGCAATCCCACGATACCTAGCCCCCAGTGACTACTTGCCCGCGTTAAAGCGGGTCTAAATGAATTTCTATTACCCCCAGATAATTCCCTTTCGAGGCTCCTTCTCCACATTTAACGTATATACTAAGCAAGCTGGGGCGGCAACTAGAGAATTGAAAGGTGTTCTTAGGTTCTTCTACGCCGCCGAGAGGATCCTAGCGAACAAGTAGACCGGCACATCAGTAGCGGTGTGCAAGGTCAAGCAAGGAAGGTGCGAGTGGAGATTAGTCGATGCGAGAGAGACACATGCAAGACATTTTGGTTCGCATTAAAGTGTTGGACGCTGGGAGTAGCGCTGGGCATACATGCATGTGATTTCGGTGCATGCGCACGGGCGGAGAGGAAGAGAGAGACATGGGAGCTAAAGGTTCAGTTCGTGGCAAGGGTCTACGCCACATGCAACACTGTTACTTGTCTTCGTCTTACTATGATATGAGTTGAGAAGTAAGCGACGCATTCATAAGACATGTCTTTTCCCTACAGCGTAATCACGGTGAACATTCGAAGTGATCAAAACGATAGCATCTAGGAGCCAAATGGTAATGTAGTAACGTGTGTAGAGTGTGGTATTACGGAGCCCCCATCATCTCTCAATCTGAACTGAGAAGACTCGTCAGGACAGCCGCCATGGTCTAATCAACTATTTACGCAAGTAGAGGACCAGGTAACAGAAACGAATAAAAACGCCGTCGTTGTATAAACGCATTTTGAAGACTTTTGTTGTTTGCTCTGCTAGGAGAGGATAAGAACGCCATTGAAAAAGAAAGCGACCCAAGTCTATTCGACAATTCAAGGGGGGGGATATTCCGCGTTAAAAACACAATAGAAGAGAGATGGCCAACCAAAAAAACACCTCTTTATGCACATCGATTTCGTCATACCAAGCGTCGTTGTTGTTGCTGTAACGCTGCCGCCCAATCAAAACGGGAGATGTACGTCTTCAAGAGAGGTGTACAAAGGAAGCGAAAAACGTAGTGGAGCTCTTTATCCAAGAAATCAAGCCTAGCTTATTTGGTGGTAGAAGATACTGTATTGAATCCTCAAATCCAAAGTGTAACGCCAGGTAGATGCAGGAAACAAGAGACGGTAGAACCAGTCATGACTTTTTTGTCTGTCGTCCATGAAAAACAAACATTGATGGGGCAAAAGCTGCAATCGTCGTCGTCGCGAGTTTGGAAGATTTGGGTATTGAAGAAGGGTACAAGTGTGGCGAGACGCGTCGAGAAGCGGTCTCGAAGAAGGTAAAGGGTTTAGAACATGGAGGGGTCAATGCCGCCCATTCCAGCACCTGCGACGTTTGCGTTCTGTAGATTTTGGAGGTTGGAAGTAAGGCCAAGCTTCTGCATCGCGAGCTCGGGATTGCAGTGAGGAGCGTGGGAGCGGTGGTATTTGAGACCGTTGAGGTTCTTGTATCGCTTGCCACATACTTCGCAACGGTAAGGCTTCTCCTTCTCCATGCCGACGGTGCCGGGGTATGGAATGGACGTCAGAGGATCGACAATCGAGAAGGTACCGTCGTCGTTCTCCTTGAGTTGCTGGTTCTGGTGACCATGCTGCTTGTGGTACTTGAGACCGTTTTGATTCTTGTATGCCTTCTCACAGCCAATGACTGGGCATCGGAATGGCTTGACCTCTTCTGGGAAGGGGAACTGGGGTATGCTCGCGCCGTTGATGAGCTGTTGCTCTCGTAACCTCCTAGCCATCTCGCTTTGGTCGTTTCCGCTAAGCTGGTAGTTCTTGAGCGCTGCTTGTAGCTGAGCCTGGTTCAGACCGCCACCTTGCTTGCTGAAGAGACGCTTGCCGGGCTGGTCGATGGTGCCGTTGTTGTCAAATGCGCCCATGCCAAAGTTGCCGTTGCCGTTGCCAAAGTTCATGCCCATGTTCATGTTCATGTCCATGCCCATCATTGGGTTGAAACCGCCAAAGTCCATGTCGAGCTCGGCCGGAGTGCCCGGATGTGACGATTCGGGCGATGTCAGGTTGTGATTTTGCATAGGCATGGTGCCCATTGTGGGCGTGTTGACCGACGAAACGGTGGGGTTATTTTGGAGGTTGAACTGCTGTGTGGCGGATGGCGTGGTAGGAGTGGATGTGCGCATGCCTTGGTGATTTTGCATGTTGTTGGCGAGGTTGACGTTGACGTTGAGCTGTGGCTGTTGATTTTGGTTCTGGTTGAACTGGTTCTGGACTGGGAATTGCTGCATGTTCTGCTGCTCCTCGATGGGACCGAGGTTGTTGAAGTCGATGTCGTCCATCTCCATGTCATCCAATGTGTCCATGTCCTGCACAGTCGACAGGTTGGAGCGACTGACGGAGCCGATGCGCTGGCGTGGCGCGCCGATGGAGCCTGACCGTGACTGGAAGCCATTCTGTGTGTTGTAGGCATCGCCCTGTGTCTGGCTTGGCGCAATGGAGCTGGTGGGAGCGCCTGATGTGTTTGTGAAGCCGTTCTGGGGCTGCTGTTGTTGCGGGCGGGCAGCGGGCGCGTTGGCGTGCGTCTCCTCAAAATGCTGGAGGAGATCGTGCAGCGAGGCGAGGGTAAGGCCGCAGCAGGTAAAGTCCTTCATGAAGGCGGCTTCCATCTTGGGCAGGTAGGAAGACGAGTGGAAGGAAGGCGAGCCCTGGACGAAAGGCGCGGGTGAGGTGCCCATCATGATGCTGGTGCGAGGGTCAGTTTTGGATTTGGTGTCGGGTATTTTAAGTGGATACTTACTCGTCGCGGATCCAGGACCCGACCGAGTGGCCGCCCCAGCTCATGCCGCCGGCGAAGCTGCCCATGTTTGTGCTCTCGCGGCGGCCGCGGTCCTTCATGGTGATGGGACGGGCGCCGCTGTTGCCGTAGAAGGAGGAGCCGAGCATGCTAATGGAGGGGTGGCGCTCGCTCATGCTCGGGCGCTGGCCATTGGTGAAGTCGAAGTTGTTTGGGTTCAGCAGGCCAGGCGTGGTGGACATGTTGTCGGGCTGGGCCTCGGCCTGCTGTCGCAGGGCCGACGTCAGGTTGGACGTCTGGTTCTGGGGCGAGTTGGAGCCATAGCGCGGGGGCGTCTGGATGTCGATGGGCGAGGCGGTAGCCATGTTGGCGAAGCCGCTGTGCAGTTGCGGCTCCTCGGGGAAGAGGGGGAAGCTGCAGTCGCCCGCGTCTTCGAAAAGGACGTCCTCGCTGGGCTGGTGGCTGGCCACAAGCTCTTGGGGCTTGCGGTGCCAGAGGTTGGAGAGGCCGGCACTCGGGTCCTTCTTACCACGGCCAAAATGCGGCGACGATGGCTGTTCGATAGGAGTGCTGATGGGGGTGCTCGCTGCCGTGGATTCACGCGGCGAGTGGGAGAGAGGTGGCGGCTGCTCGTAGGAATCCAGCTTCGCGGTGGGCGAAGGTGTGTAGAGATGTGGCAGTGGGGAAATAATGCTAGTGGAACGGCGACTCGTTAGGCGCAGTTTCAAATGACTGTGCGTTGGCTTGGGTGTGGCGTATGGTGTATAGTGGCTGGCAGTAGCAGTGGCTTGTTATTTTCTTCTTCTACTCAGCAAGAATATGTCGCTGAAATAGGTCGGGGATAGTTGTCTGGAATTATGCAATAAGTCGTGCCGGGGCGTGGGAAACTATATGCGTGTCGGTGGGAGCCAGAGCGGTGACGAGCGACGAGCGGCCGACCTCGAGATCCCTGCCGATGGGTGGGTGGATACGGCCAATTGCGGGCAGGCGCTACTGTGCCTGTATGCGTCGCTCCTGGCAAGGTGCAAGTCTGACGAAGGGCGATCAGTGATTGTGCGATGCGAGTGACGAGGGCGGCAGCGTCATGATATAACCGCGGAAATTGTCGCGAATTGCCTGCTTCTCGAAACCCATCACCAGGCACAACAACGTCTCAATGCCACCCAGCTGAATAAGCATCACAATGCCTACGCCTCGCAAGCAACGGCACTGCCGGCCGAGGCAACTTCTGATGAGCACCGCGCACGGCCACATGGTTTCTGGTACGCGCCCCTACTAGAGCCGGAGCATGGAGACATCTCCAAGCGTCTACTGTCACGCCGTCGCCTCTGCAAGCCACCCTGGCCCGTAGCATCACCAACATACCTCACCTTCTAGAAGCCCGCCGCTGATGGAAAGTACCGTGGCCTTGTCCTTGCACGTGGCGCAGACAACCGCCGTACTATGGAAGCTGGGCATCCAACCATGCCACATCCGAGTATTCACCGACACCATACACTTGTTGGAATCTCACCAACAATACCAAACAAACGTATACATCCAACTCTCTATCCCAACTATATACGCGAACCGCCGCTGACGCCCATGCACTCTCTCCTGCAACCTGCAACTCACTAACATGGCTCTGCTCCGCTGTGAACTCAAAAGGGTCTTGGTCTGCACCACACCCAACATGCTTCATCCCTACCCGCCGTGCTAGCCACCACCAGCCCGTCTTCGAGCATCCCCAGCGCTGAACATGGTCGTTTCGAACCGTCAGCCAGTCTCTCGGCCAGGTCGGCAGAATGCGTCGCCCTTGGCCGGACTGCTCTCGGCTGTTTGACTGCCTTGGGCTCTCTTACACAAGCAATCAACTAACCAGCCGCCGCTGCTATTAGCCTGCGCTACATGCGGTACGTACTCTGAAGATGTTGGGACGACGACATGCGTCGCGTATCGATGCTCTGTAGCCTACACATCGATTGCAATCTCTAGCGCCAGAGTCCAAAGCCATCGCAGAGATACTCGGCAGGTCTTGAACTTACTTTTTTACCCCATGGTCTACATGGTTTACATTTCTGGGGTAACAACCTGTCGCTTGCCAACGTGCGTCAGTCGTCGTTGCATGCTTGACTGCCACTCTCCAGCTCCAGTACCGACGACCCGAAATGTCGTGCTCGTCCACCAACCAGGACAAAACTACAAGATAGCCAACCCCCACGGCCGCCTCACAAGCTTCATTTGCACAGTCTACACCTCCTGGTGATCTCAGTTGCATATTCGAAACATGCAACCTGTCCCCGTGATGATGCATCCGAGCGCCGGAGTCTTCTCATAACGTCCTGTAAGTAAGTCCGCCCTACACAAGTCCAGCCATCCTTGCAAATGTGACGCCCAGTTCGCTTCACGTCTTGAGCGCTCGTTTCATTGGACCCTGCAGCAGCTCATTCTCCCACGTCGTGCTGAATTGGGGATCCCGCCCTACACGCAGTCCCATTTCATCCCACTTGCGTGTGTCACTCTAGACACCTCATCACCGCCCCCGTCAAGCACTTACGAAAGCACCTCAAACATGTCGTTTTTGGATTACGACGACTCCGACAATGTTTTCAACAAGTACGCGCTACCGCTCGTCATATCCGAGGGCTGACTGCGCTCCTCGGGCATGGGCGGGATTTGTTGGGGCGGCTCTCCCGCTGTCCCTTCGCTTGTTTACCAACGCCGCCAAGTAACATACGCGGAAGGCCTAACCGGTGCAACTTCCGACTTGCGAGCCAGAGTATGGGCTGCGTGTGCGACGTCACTCACCTGCTCACCCATCGCCAGATTGCTTGGGGTCCAGCTCGTCTCAGCTCTCGATGCCAACCACCAATCCAATATTCTCTCGCCACGCACGGTACCTCGAGCTGAATCGTCGTCGCTTCCGACGCTCAACGCAGCGTTTCTTGGTCCATCTCTTGCAGCAAGTGTGGCGAGACAAGGCATCGTCAGATTCACCAACCCCCAACATCGCATCAGGACTCCAACTCCAATCCCGGCTAGCATGCTTCACCGCCAACTGCCGCCAGACGTGACGTACCCGGTATAACAGTATCTATTATCCGGTAGCGCACGACAGTGCATCGACACCTAGGCTGCTTCAAGATCATGCACATTGCATCTTCCGATCTTCAGCCTGCCCTCTTCTGCTGGTTCACGGTACCATGGGAAGAATAGGGACAACTCGCAACTACATTCAATCCAAGACGACAATTGCTGTCATGCCGATTGCGGCAGCGGGGTAAAAAGCAATTCTGGTACTGAAGCACTGGGCAAAGTGACCCGGACAGTAAGTAAGCTTTCTGTACCGACATCTCAGCTGGCTCCAATAAAGAGGCAATCATGAGGCCAATTCATCGCATGTCCAAACGGTCCCGCTACCGGGCTCGTGAACCAACGCCGCCAGCCGTCACAGCACTACGTGGTCGAAACGGCCCTTTCTCATGTTCACATCTGCGCGTCATTCCTTTTGGCGTCAGGCACGTCTACCTCGAGGGACGAATCGCGACCACGTATCACCACTACTAACGTCAGTAGCCTGATTTCCCTCGCTTAAACAGCCAGGTCTCGCAATGATCAATCGCGTCCGTTGGCAAGGTAACGTCAAGGACCCATGGGAAATCATTTATCCCAGCAAGCAGTCACAATTTTTCGAAATTGTCCGAAACACCATCGCTTATGGCGCCTTAAAATGCTCCTTGAATCCACTCTGCATCGTCGAATTCGCCCTACTCGCATTTAGCCACTCTCCACTTCGAGCTTCATGCATGTGCATTTCAAGCTTCAACGCTAGAATTTCTAGCGCGGGCTCGGTCCTTTTCCAAGTCACGTTATCGGGCCGCTAAATGTCTACGCAGGACCATCATCGGCAACTGCCCTGAGACCATAACTTCATCTTCACTGATGTGCAACATGGATAGATGGCGGCATACCGATTCCAGACTTTCCGTCTATGAGTGCTCGACGAAGGATTGATGGGCCAGACGCTGAACTGATGATGCATTCCTCGGTGGAATAGCAGGTGTCTTTCGGCCCTATATCCATGGACGACACGAGCGCAAGTCAGCCCTGTGACGTCAACCAGGTAATGTTGAATCGTTCTCTCCCTTGCCTACACGTAGAACGCCAAACATGTGCGAACTCTCCAGCCCAGCTTACCGAACGACTATTCCAGAGGCGCGATTCGATCGAGAAAGATGAAGCACCTTATCTAGTCAGATCTACACTGTACTAACTCCCTAGCCTCAACCCGCATTTCGGGATAACTATATCCAGAGAGTGATGTGCGAAACCGCGCGTCACCGACCTGCGCACTCGCGGCGTGGCATATGTCATCCCGACAAACACCCTGGTGCGTTGTGACGAAAGATATGATGGAGAATCAGCCATAGTCTCGCTGCCGGTTCCGGAACCGCATATCACTCTACACATCTCAGCACCGATGGATCGACCTTCCCTAACGGTTTGTTCTGAGATGAGCACGACGATCAATTAGGCCAGACACAGTAGGTCCGGCAACGTTATCCGGTGGGATGGAGCTTTATGAACAGCATACTGTATGGACTTAATATATATTCGGTATGAATCTAGCTGCGTCATGACATCAAGTGATCGACGTTATCACTAGGACTGAATAATGCTCGTCTATGACAGTACTCTACTTTCCATCTCTTCATCTTTCCACTTCCCCTCAATAGATACGGGGTATGTCCGATTCGATGAGGCACGGATGTATACTCGCGGCGTTCGACTGCCTCCCCCTGCGACATTGACAAAGTCCAATCTATACATTAGCTAATGTGTATCCATACAATCAGAAAAGACAACACCACGATTACAGAGCATGCTGCGTGTGTAAGCACAGAAGCGCTAGAGGAATTCTACAAAGACACAGTCTCAGGAACGTGATCCGAAAACATCACGGCGGTTTTACTATATACCTGTTTTCCACAAACTCTCCGTTCTCCAGTCAACGTTTGATCTTGGCTGTCTTGTAGCGCCATCTCTTCTTATCGTAGCTGCTGTTCATTCTTCGATGTAAACGTTGGTGAGATGTTTATCTGGAGAAGAAGATGATGCACATTATAGGACGCGGTTACGAGTCGCGATGACTCGGATATAGCACTTCTCCCGCCCAATGCCAACCACAAGGCACCACATTATCGTTGGAACGGGGGCGATCAACTTGATAGTTGTCTTTACATCGAAATTTACCTTCAGCTGAAAGATCAGGATATCAAAGTTCCTCCAGATACGTCATTCTTCCACAGATCACTTTTGCCTTTTCATCCACCACCGCACGCACTCGCGGGAGCCCCTCTGCCACTGCACCCGCCCCCTGGCACAT